GTTACTGTTTTTGCTGTATTTTGGATCAAATAAATGCAGGCTTGGTGAGCAGAAGAGAATTCTTTAAAAAACATTAAAAATCTTACTGTTCAAAAACTTTTGACTGGTATAGTGTATATATCAAAGTGGTGATGGGCCGCCTGGACCAAAAAATGCCAGGGCCGATTTTTTGTCCCAGTTCAGCCCTGCTCACTGGTGCTAGAATACTTTGGTCTTTAAGACACAGTTCTGTACAACATGCGTGTGTGTGTGTGAGGTAGCTGCAGATACATGAGCTGTTTATATACTAGCTGTTGCAGTAGATTTGAATGAACCGTGTGTGTGTGTGTGTGTGTGTGTGTGTGTGTGTTATGTGGCAGCGATGGTGGTTCCTCCTCCGAGCCGCAGCAGTATCTGTGTGTGTGTGTATATGTGTTTATGTGTGTATATATGTGTGTGTGTGTGTGTGTTATGTGGCAGCGATGGTGGTTCCTCCTCCGAGCCGCAGCAGTATCTGTGTGTGTGTGTATATATGTGTGTGTGTGTGTGTTATGTGGCAGCGATGGTGGTTCCTCCTCCGAGCCGCAGCAGTATCTGTGTGTGTGTGTATATATGTGTGTGTGTGTGTGTTATGTGGCAGCGATGGTGGTTCCTCCTCCGAGCCGCAGCAGTATCTGTGTGTGTGTGTATATATGTGTGTGTGTGTGTGTTATGTGGCAGCGATGGTGGTTCCTCCTCCGAGCCGCAGCAGTATCTGTGTGTGTGTGTATATATGTGTGTGTGTGTGTGTTATGTGGCAGCGATGGTGGTTCCTCCTCCGAGCCGCAGCAGTATCTGTGTGTGTGTGTATATATGTGTGTGTGTGTGTGTTATGTGGCAGCGATGGTGGTTCCTCCTCCGAGCCGCAGCAGTATCTGTGTGTGTGTGTGTTTGTGTTTATGTGTGTATATATGTGTGTGTGTGTGTGTGTTATGTGGCAGCGATGGTGGTTCCTCCTCCGAGCCGCAGCAGTATCTGTGTGTGTGTGTGTTTGTGTGTATATATGTGTGTGTGTTATGTGGCAGCGATGGTGGTTCCTCCTCCGAGCCGCAGCAGTATCTGCTGGCAGTCCTGCAGGGATCTGCGGTCTCCGACTCGCTCCAGCGTGCGTTTGGCCTCGGCCAGCAGTCGAGCTCTGTGACCTGGCGGCGTCAGCAGCGGCAGCGGCAGGTGACGACACGCTAGCAGGATAGCATGAGCCCTCTCACGCTCGCCCGGAGCGCAGTCACCGTCTGCAACACAAACACAGTGTCAGCGCAACATACTCAACACGCAGCAGCAGCTGCTATAGAGAGAGTGTGTGTGTGTGTGTGTGTTTACCTGGGCTGTAGTTGTGTGTTCGGTGTCGCAGCAGCTGGTGTGTGCGTGTTGGACTGGCTCCTGCCATCAGTCGGACCGTCGTCTCGTGTAGGAACAGCTAAAAATCATACACACACACACCGTTAATAGCATGCGGAGGTCAAGTGCAGAGGTCAGCTGCAGGCCGGGGTCAAAGGTCACCTTGTGCTGGGCCTGTCCTAGTTTCCGCAGAGAGCTCAGGTCCCTCTGAAATCCAGCCAGCTGGGATCCGGGGGCAGGGCCTGGCTCCCCATTAGACCCGCCTCCACGCTGCCATAGGCTGGTCCTCAGAGTCAGGAGGAGGTCACACACCAGAAGCTCCACCCCCTGAGAGAGTCAGAGAAGATGATTGGACAAAGAGAAATGCCAGTGTGTTTATGTGCAGTGTAGGGCTGCACGATATTAGAAAAAAACTCACATTTTTCTGCGATATACGTGTATATATAGCGATATAAAAAAAAAATATAAAAAAAAAACGCCAGATGACTTGAAAAGCTCTATTTGGAAAAAAATATATAATCATTTGGGTGATTGTGTAGGTGAGTAAATCAGCATAGAAAATAAACAAATTACAAACATAGATAAATATAATAGAAAAAAACATACAAATGAAATAAACAATGCTTTACATTTTTCAGGTAAGTCTAACAGTACTCAGGTACAGAAATTGAATAATCAAATGTAAAATAACACTGCATAGTCTTCACTGTATAAATTAAATCTAAAGCTACAAAAGTGATTTTGGGTGAACCAGAAAGCCTCAGGAATATTAAACTGCTGTGAACCAATATACTATCCATTATATTTCTCAATTGTTTACCTTCACCTAAGCCATAAACAACCGTGTTTACAAGGATACTTGCAGAGACATGCATTTTGACACAGTTTTACGCGTATGTGTCATTTTGGAACGGAATTCAGTGTTCACGTGCATCTGCGTGGCTCTCACCGTGTCTACATCAGCGGCATTGCGTGACGCAACAAAATACAATAGAACCCATTATAATCAGCGCTGTCTACACTGGATGCGGCGTGGCGCGGCTCGACCAATCCCCAACAGTAAATCCTTCGTTCTTTTTATGACGTACTAACACAAAGTTCAAATGATTAGCAATGGTTGCTTTCTCGCGTCCAGTGTAGACAGCCTCTAACTGTTGGGGAGCAGGGCAGCGCGACAAGACAGCTGTCGAGAAAATGATAAGTATAATCTTATATATGATAAGATATATCGTGCAGCCCTAGTGCAGTGTGTGTGAGTGTGTGTGTATAAGTGCAGTGCAGTGTGTATAAGTGCAGTGTGTGTGTGTGAGTATGTGTGTCAGTGCAGTGTTAGTGAGTGCAGTGTGTGTGTGTGTGAGTGCAGTGTGAGTATGTGTGTCAGTATGTGTGAGTGCAGTTTAGTGTGAGTGCAGTGTGTGTGTGATTGCAGTGTGAGTGCAGTGTAAATGAGTGTGTTGTGTGAGTGCAGTGTGTATAAGTGCAGTGTGTGTGTGTGTGAGTGCAGTGTGCATAAGTGCAGTGTGTATGTGTGTGTGAGTGCAGTGTGTATAAGTGCAGTGTGTGTGTGTGATTGCAGTGTGAGTGCAGTGTGTGTGAGTGCAGTGTGTATAAGTGCAGTGTGTGTGTGTGAGTGCAGTGTGTATAAGTGCAGTGTGAGTGCAGTGTGTATAAGTGCAGTGTGTGTGTGTGATTGCAGTGTGAGTGCAGTGTGTGTGAGTGCAGTGTGTATAAGTGCAGTGTGTGTGTGTGATTGCAGTGTGAGTGCAGTGTGTGTGAGTGCAGTGTGTATAAGTGCAGTGTGTGTGTGTGATTGCAGTGTGAGTGCAGTGTGTGTGAGTGCAGTGTGTATAAGTGCAGTGTGTGTGTGTGAGAGTGCAGTGTGCATAAGTGCAGTGTGTATGTGTGTGTGAGTGCAGTGTGTATAAGTGCAGTGTGTGTGTGTGATTGCAGTGTGAGTGCAGTGTGTGTGAGTGCAGTGTGTATAAGTGCAGTGTGTGTGTGTGATTGCAGTGTGAGTGCAGTGTGTGTGAGTGCAGTGTGTATAAGTGCAGTGTGTGTGTGTGAGTGCAGTGTGCATAAGTGCAGTGTGTATGTGTGTGTGAGTGCAGTGTGTATAAGTGCAGTGTGTGTGTGTGATTGCAGTGTGAGTGCAGTGTGTGTGAGTGCAGTGTGTATAAGTGCAGTGTGAGTGTGTGTGAGTGTGTGTAAGTATATGTGTGTGTGAGTGCAGTGTGTGTAAGTGCAGTGTGAGTGTGTGCAGTGTGTGTGTGAGTGCAGTGTGAGTGTATGTATGTAAGTGTATGAGTGTGTGAGTGCAGTGTGAGTGTGTGCAGTGTGTGTGTGTGAGTGCAGTGTGAGTGTGTGTAAGTATATGTGTGTGTGAGTGCAGTGTGTGTGAGTGCAGTGTGTATAAGTGCAGTGTGAGTGTGTGTGAGTGTGTGTAAGTATATGTGTGTGTGAGTGCAGTGTGTGTAAGTGCAGTGTGAGTGTGTGCAGTGTGTGTGTGAGTGCAGTGTGAGTGTATGTATGTAAGTGTATGAGTGTGTGAGTGCAGTGTGTATAAGTGCAGTGTGAGTGTGTGCAGTGTGTGTGTGTGTGAGTGCAGTGTGAGTGTATGTATGTAAGTGTATGAGTGTGTGAGTGCAGTGTGTATAAGTGCAGTGTGAGTGTGTACAGTGTGTGTGTGAGTGCATGTAAGTATATGAGTGTGTGAGTGCAGTGTGTATAAGTTCAGTGTGTGTGAGTGCAGTGTGAGTGTGTGTATGTAAGTATATGTGTGTGTGAGTGCAGTGTGAGTGTGTGTATGTAAGTGTATGAGTGTGTAGGTGCAGTACAGGTGTGTACCTTGTGCAGCCAGGTGTTGTTGTGCGACTGACACACACTGAAGTGCAGGTGCGCGCTGGCACGCTGGCAGTGACTGAGGCAGCTGACAACTCCTTCGCCCTTCTGCGGACTCACACTCATCTGCACAGCCTTACAAAGTGCCAGCACGGCCTTTGGCAGCGGGTGACTGACACACACACACACACACGCATGCGGTTAGACTGGAGATTCGTGACTATGAACACACACTCCGACGGGTAAACACTCACTCCAGCATGTGCAGTGCTCTGGGCATCCGCTCTGCCTCCGCCAGCAGTGACCTCACCGACGCATCATCACCTTGCAGCCAATGAACCACAGCCTTCAGCACCGACGCCCACCAGCGGCACACGGGGTCCCTGACTGCAGAGACGAGAGACACGACACGTCAGCGTGTGAGGACGCATTAACACACCAATGAGGCACTGACACACACCTGGCATTGAGCTCTGATTGGCCAGCGCAGGGAAGGGAGCGGTGGAGGGGGCGGAGTCTTCAGTACAGCTGTTCAACAGCTGCAGAAACTCCAAAACACCCGTGAACTCCCTGCAAGAGACATGACAGGAACACGCTTTTAGAATAGAAGAATTATTAGTTATTAGAATTATAAGTGCATTATAAATTGTAATCACAATTTTAATCAGAAAAATTGTGATCTGATTTGTTTCATTCCACCTGCTGATGTAGTTAGTTGTGGACCCTGTTTGTTTTTTTACCCATTGTGTGTTTTTGTGAACAGGTCTGTGTGTGTGTTTTACCCAGCGTCCTCTGTGTGTTTGCTGCTCTGTGGCTCGATCAGCGTGTGCACTGCTCTCTCCAGGAGCTTCTCACAGAAGCAGCGGTGCAGCTGTGCGATGGGATCCGCTAGAGACAGACACACACACACACACACGTGTTAGTCCTGCGTCCGGACACTCAGACGGCCATCGAGCTGTCTGTCAGTCTTACCTTCATCTCTCTGAGACGTGAAGATCTGCTCGCTGCTCTCCGCCCTCACTGACCAATCACAGCTCAGGAAGAACTGGCGGCCCAGCGGCGTGAAGATCCAGCGCAGGCAGTCTGGGAGGGGCTTGGAGTCTGATTGACAGGCCAGAGCCTCAGCACAGCTCAGCAGGTAACCCTGACACACAGACAGCAGGTTTGTGAGGGTGTGTGTGGTGTTTACACGTGTGTTATGAGTGTGTGTGTGATGCTCACGGGCAGACAGGTGAGGTGTTTCCCCAGCGCAGCTCTCAGACTGATGGCTGCCCTCACAAAGATCTGGATCCGCTGAGAGACTAGTATCTTCCCCTCCGCGCTCTCGCTCAGATTCACAGCGCTCAGAGACACACACACACCCCAGAGCGGCCGCTGATCCAGCTTACCTGAAACACACACACTATATTATTATAACACACCACACACACACTATAACATACACACACACACACACACCTGTGAGCTGCAGCTGGTTGAGTTGGTGATACACCAGTGCTGCGTCACGTGAGCTGGTCTGTGACTCCTCCCCCTCGTGTCTCCCTCCAACCAGACGCACCAGCCAGCCCAGGGGGGCGGGTTTCCGCAGGCAGTAGCGAATCAGGTTCCAGGAGAGCGAGCAGATGAGGTCGAGGTTGGAGGAGGGCAGCACTCTGGACAAGACGGACAGACAGGTGTGCAGACTGACCGCGGCTGCCGCGTAATCGCCCTGAGACACACACACGACACATGATCATCAACTCTATAGTGTGTGTGTGTGTGTGTGTGTGTGTGTGTATGTTTGTGTGTTTACCCGGTACAGCTGCAGGTCGGCCTGTTTCCTGTGTCTCCAGAAGCGCACTGAAGTGGGCGAGTGAAGGGGCGTGACCGGCTCCCACAGGTACAGCACACGGACACACCCCCAGACCACGCCCACTCCGCTCAGGACCCACACCAGGAGCCACAGCAACACGCACCACAGCCACGTCCCTGACAGATGGACGGACACACACGTGACATTAGCGTCAGAGCGGATCACTCAGTCGTGTGATGATTGTGTGTGTGTGTGTGTCGGTCACGTGACTCACCGAAGCTCTGTGTCTGCGCGGGCAGAGAGAAGAGCAAGCGCGAGGATCCGTGCGCAGCTGCCAGCCCGGCGCTCTCCTCAGACCCCAGCAGAGACGGAAGAGGGTTGAGCGACAGACAGAAGAAGGTGAGCGTGCAGAGCAGCAGACGCGAGCGGTCCAGCACTCCCACTGATGACGGCGAGTCCGGCTCGCTCTTCACCTGAAACACGCACACACGTGGATCAGACTGACGCCCACGCTCTGATTTGAATATGAAGTGAGGGGGCGGGGCCTGTGTTCTGATTCGAATATGAAGTGAGGGGGCGGAGCCTGTGCTCTGATTCAAATATGAAGTAAGGGGGTGGAGTCTGCTATGATTTGAATATAAAGTGAGGGGGTGGAGTCTGTGCTCTGATGTAAATATGAAGTGAGGGGGTGGAGCCTGTGTTCTAATGTAAATATGAAGTGAAGGGTGGAGTCTGTGCTCTGATTTGAATATAAAGTGAGGGGGTGGAGCCTGTGTTCTAATGTAAATATGAAGTGAGGGGGTGGAGTCTGTGCTCTGAATTGAATATGAAGTGAGGGGGTGGAGCCTGTGTTCTAATGTATGATCCATCTGATCCAAGATGGCGCCAGTGTGTTTGCCGGCATGCAGTCAGGCTTTGGAATTTATTTGCCTGTTTATGTCTATTATGTACATGTTCAACCCTGGTGCTTTTGGCGGCCCTCTGCCAAGTGGTAAAGCCATGTTGTGCTACGATCGTCAATCTCTTATAAGCACAAGTCACCGTAGTTTCGCTCATTCCGCGGTGTTGCTTTTGGTTCCTGTGGAGCTGCTTCGGCGACGGTGTTCCCAGCAAAGGAAGAAAGGTCGTAAAAAACGTGGGAAACGAGGAGGACTTCTGATTAATTATAAACGATTTGGGGCTTCCCAAAGGAATTGTTTGGTGCCGCATACGGACTATTCCAGCTTTGGGGAATTAAGACGCTCATGGTTGGTTCCCGTTGAGCCTAACGGGATGCTTCCAGCTTATCGGCGTGACCAACGGCTTTCGCGTCATTGTCATCAGTAAATGTCAGCAATCTCCGATTGCTCAAACGAGATAAGTGCATGAATTTTCCACTAGTTGATAACACTATCTCAGTTAAGATGGCGTTAATAAATGCGAGGTCCATGGTGAATAAAACTTTTATTTTAAATGATTACTGTTCATCAAATAACTTGGGACTTCCTTTTTGTGACTGAAACTTGGCTTGATGCGTTGGACTTAAGTCCTTTGTCTGAACTTTGTCCTTTTAATTATCTATTTTGGAATTTGCCTAGAACTTCTGGAAGAGGTGGGGGTATTGCAACATTGTACAAAAATAATTTTAAATGTAGTCAACTGCCGTCCAGGAAATATACTAGTTTTGAATTACAATTATTTAGGGTTGATTCTGTTTCTTCACTGTTATGTGCACTTATTTATAGACCTCCAAGGTATAATAAGGATTTTATTGATGAATTTTCAGAGTTTTTGTCTGTCACAGTTCCTACTTGTGATAATTTTCTTATACTTGGTGATTTTAATATACATGTGTGCTGTCCCTCTAAGCCATTGGCTAGAGAATTTTTGCAGTTGATCGATTCATTTAATTTTACTCAGTTTGTGTCAGGATCTACTCATAGAGCTGGCCATACTCTTGATCTTGTATTGTCTTTGGGTCTCTCTATTACTAATGTTGTGGTAAATGATGCTTGTTTTTCTGATCATCTGTTTGTTTGTTTTGATTCTGCATTTCCTTCGCTGAATACAGCAAGCAATAGGTCTGGCCACTTCACTCGTTTTATAAATACCTCAACTGTTGATACATTTTCTGAGGCCTTTGCTGCCTCATCATTCTGTCATGATTTAGAGTTTTCTTCTCTGGATCTTAGTGTGGATGGGTATTTTAATTCTTTTAATTCGGTTTGTACAGAAATGTTACATGAGATTCCACCCTTAAAATATAGGGAATCAAAAAAACAATCACAGCCGTGGATGAATGATGAAATCCGTACGTCAAGGAAAATTTGCAGAAGGGCTGAACGAAAATGGAGGATAGGCTGCAAGTATCATTTGATATGTTAAGAGAAGCTTTGACAAATTTTCAGTCTATTGTGAAGGTTGCAAAAGCAAAATATTTCTCGAATATAATTAATAAGAACTCAAACAAGCCTAATATTTTATTTAATACGATTAATAAAGTGATTTTTCCTGCGCCTACTAATTGTCTCGAGGCTACTCAAAAGATGTGTGAGGATTTTTTGCAATTCTTTGTAAACAAAGTTGATAATCTTCGGTCACATATTATACCAGTAACAACCTTTCAATCTGAGTTAAATCATCAGAGTTCATTTAGTAGTTTTGAACCTATTTCTTTACCTCAGTTGGAGCATATATTAAGGCACACTAGACCTGCTGCACATCCGTCTGATCCTCTTCCTCCTCGGCTGTTGTTAAAATTGTTTGATCTTTTAGGTAAAACTCTTCAGTCTCTTTTTAATAGTAGTTTAATTAATGGAAATGTTCCTGCTTGTTTTAAACATACAGTAGTGCAGCCACTTCTTAAGAAACCAAATTTGGATTATACTGTTTTAAGTAATTACCGACCTATATCGAAACTACCTTTCTTATAGAAAATTTTGGAGAAGGTTGTTCTGTCTCAGCTTGCGTCATACTCTATTTAGATATGAATGCTGTTATAAATATGTTCCAGTCAGGTTTTAGGTCTCTTCATAGTACAGAATCCGCCCTTCTTAAGGTTTTTAAAAAAACAATCACAGCCGTGGATGAATGATGAAATCCGTACATCAAGGAAAATTTGCAGAAGGGCTGAACGAAAATGGAGGATAGGCTGCAAGTATCATTTGATATGTTAAGAGAAGCTTTGACAAATTTTCAGTCTATTGTGAAGGTTGCAAAAGCAAAATATTTCTCGAATATAATTAATAAGAACTCAAACAAGCCTAATATTTTATTTAATGTGATTAATGATTTTTCCTGCGCCTACTAATTGTCTCGAGGCTACTCAAAAGATGTGTGAGGATTTTTTGCAATTCTTTGTAAACAAAGTTGATAATCTTCGGTGACAGATTATACCAGTAATGACCTTTCATTCTGAGTTAAATCATCAGAGTTCATTTAGTAGTTTTTAACCTATTTCTTTACCTCAGTTGGAGCATATATTAAGGCACACTAGACCTGCTGCACATCCGTCTGATCCTCTTCCTCCTCGGCTGTTGTTAAAATTGTTTGATCTTTTAGGTAAAACTCTTCAGTCTCTTTTTAATAGTAGTTTAATTAATGGAAATGTTCCTGCTTGTTTTAAACATACAGTAGTGCAGCCACTTCTTAAGAAACCAAATTTGGATTATACTGTTTTAAGTAATTACCGACCTATATCGAAACTACCTTTCTTATAGAAAATTTTGGAGAAGGTTGTTCTGTCTCAGCTTGCGTCATACTCTATTTAGATATGAATGCTGTTATAAATATGTTCCAGTCAGGTTTTAGGTCTCTTCATAGTACAGAATCCGCCCTTCTTGAGGTGTTTAATGATATTTTATTGGCAGTTGATACAGGAAAGGTAGTTATTCTTATTTTATTTGATCTCACAGCTGCTTTTGATACCGTTGATCATGGTATTTTATTGCAGCATTTGGAAGATGTTGTTGTTAAGGGTTCTGCCCTAGAATGGTTTAAATCATATTTAAAAGATAGATCTTTCTCTGTTTGTCTTGGAGATCTGTGTTCTACATCAGCTAAATTATACCTTTTTGGTAGAGCTTTTAGAATTGATTAGAGGGACCAGGTTTTACATTTTAATGTTGAATCTTGATGGTGTGACTGTATGTAATGTTGCTGGAAAGCACTTTGGTCAACGGCAGTTGTTTTAAATGTGCTATAGAAATAAAATTTGTATTGTATTGTATTGTAAATATTAAACCTCGGCTGTTGTTAAAATTGTTTGATCTTTTAGGTAATACTCTTCAATCTCTTTTTAATAGTAGTTTAGTTGTTCTGTCTCAGCTTGCGTCATATTTAGATATGAATGCTGTTATAGATATGTTTCAGTCAGGTTTTAGGTCTCTTCATAGTACAGAATCCGCCCTGCTTAAGGTTTTTAATTATATTTTATTGACAGTTGATTCAGGAAAGGTAGTTATTCTTATTTTACTTGATCTCACAGCTGCTTTTGATACCGTTGATCATGGTATTTTATTGCAGCATTTGGTGGAGTCTGTGCTCTGATTTGAATATGAAGTGAGGGGGTGGAGTCTGTGATCTGGTGTAAATATGAAGAGAGGGTGTGGAGTCCGTGCTCTTTTTAGATTATTAAAGGGGTCATATGATGTTGCTAAAAAGAACATTATTTTGTGTATTTGGTGTAATGAAATGTGTTTATCACGGGGGTCTATACTTGGGCCTATTTTATTCTCATTATATATGGGCCCTTTGGGCTCAATTTTTCATAAATATAATATTATGTATCATTTATATGCAGATGACACTCAGTTATATATCCCAATAGATCCAAATGGTTCTCAATCCTTTGATGGACTTGCTCAGTTTTTAGGTGAGATAAGAGCCTGGTTGGCAAGCAATTTTATTCATCTTAATACTAATAAGACTGAGTGTGTTGTTTTTGGACCTTCTTCTGCTTCTAAGGAAATTATAAGTAGGTTGGCCGCTATGAAGATAAGTGTTTCAGATCATGTTAAGAATTTGGGTGTTATAATGGATTCAGCCTTAGTTTTAGATAAACAGGTTACTAGTGTTGTGAAGGCTGCCTTTTATCAACTCAGAATTATTTCTAAACTGAAAACATTTCTCTCTTTTAAGGACCTGGATACTATTATTCATGCCTTTGTGTCATCATGCATCGATTACTGTAATTCTGTATATATAGGTATTTCACAGGGTCAATTATCTCGTCTTCAATTAGTACAAAATGCTGCTGCCAGACTTTTGACTCGCACAAAGAAGAGAGAGAGAATTACTCCAGTTTTGGTTTCTTTACACTGGTTGCCTGTAGAATTTAGAATTGAATTTAAGGTTTTGTTGATGGTTTTTAAAGCGTTGCATGGCATTGCCCCAAAATATATTGTTGACCTATTGATTCCTTATCAAAATTCAAGATACTTGAGATCTTCGAATCAGATGATTCTTTATGTTCCCAAAACAAGATTAAAATTAAAGGGTGATAGGGCTTTCGCAGTGGCTGCTCCTCGATTATGGAACCCTCTCCCAATGCACATTAAATCTTCCCCATCTGTGGATGCTTTTAAGTCTAGATTGAAATCGTACCTTTTTGGTAGAGCTTTTAGAATTGATTAGAGGGACCAGGTTTTACATTTTAATGTTGAATCTTGATTGTGTGACTGTATGTAATGTTGCTGGAAAGCACTTTGGTCAACGGCAGTTGTTTTAAATGTGCTATAGAAATAAAATTTGTATTGTATTGTATTGTATTGTAAATATGAAGTGAGGGGGTGGAGTCTGTGCTCTGGTGTAAATGTAAATATGAAGTGAAGGGGTGGAATCTGTGCTCTAATGTAAATATGAAGTGAGGGGGTGGAGTCTGTGCTCTGGTGTAAATATGAAGAGAGGGTGTGGAGTCCGTGCTCTTTTTAGATTATTAAAGGGGTCATATGATGTTGCTAAAAAGAACATTATTTTGTGTATTTGGTGTAATGAAATGTGTTTATGCGGTTTAAAGTTAAAAAAACATTATTTTCCACATACTGTACATTATTGTTTCTCCTCTATGCCCCGCCTTTTTGAATGGGCGGTGTTATGCAAATCTTCCCACATCGTGACGTAGACATGTGGGGGCATGTTAGAATGAGCTGTTTTAGGTAGGCGTGGTTGACTTAACCTTTATAAAGAATATCTCTTTGGATTTGAGACTTTAGTCTTTGCAACTTTACAGATCTTCTTTATGCACCAAGAGCTTGTAACACTCCAAAGAGAAAGGAAAGATTGAAATCGCATCATATGACCCCTTTAATTGAGGTGGTGGAGTCTGTGCTCCGTTTTGAAAATTAACTGAGGGGGCGGAGTCTGCGTGTCTCACCGTCTCATGCTCAAGCAGCGGGCTGCCCGGCTCCGAGTCGATGCAGAAGGGCGAGAGCTGAGGGGGAGAGCTGGAGCCCGAATCTGACGGAGGAGGAGAAATAAAGACCATCTCCGGCTTCAGATCCACATCATCAGAGAGACACACCATCTCTATGAGAGAGACAGACAAACACAGGACGCAATCGTCAAATCCAGCCATCAAAATAAAGTTTAGTGAAAAAAAAAAAAAAGAAACAAATAAAGCTAAAATTCGTATAGATAAATCAAAAATGTATATTAGTAAGGCCCAATTCTACCCCTTCCTTTAGCGTGTTCATGTGAAGGGGTAGGGGTGTCTCGATTCTCTTTTGGTTGGAGGGGTAGGGGGAAGGGCCAGATAGCCCTTCAAACGAAGATTTTTCGTTACGTTAGCATTATGTCACATAAAGCATTAACGTTACTGACTGCACAATAGTGCCACAACATATTTTCATGTCTGATCAGGGCAGTAACCACCATAGACACTGAGGGGGCTAGTCCCCCCAATAATTAGAGATCGCTAAACCCTTTTCTTAAATGCAATGTAAGTCACTTGCCCAATGCATAAATGAGAAGGTAAATGCATTAATTTGATACATTATTTATTAAATATTTATAAATTAACAAAGCAGAAGTAGGGATATACAATTAATCAAAGTCAAATTGCAATACAAATATTAGTAAAATACATTTATAATAATATATAATAATAATAAAAATAATAATATTATTTAATATTACAAGATTTTTATCCATGTTTTAACTTTAATTGAATTAATACAGCTCTGTTGTCCAGCATTTGATTTGATTACATTTTAAAAGATTAATTAAATTGTTCAGTTTTATACATTTGTTATCCATCATTATTTAATAATACATTTGTATTAAATCATTAACACAGAATCCAGAAAATCCTTGTGATTATTAAAATGTAATTTATTTAATTTAATTAATTTACCTTTATAATGAAATTGGAAATGAAAAAAAAAAACAACAGAATTTCAGAAAAAGGAATTTGGGGGGAAGAATTCAGATTTAATAGGGCCTTATTATTGTTAAAATTGTAATAAATTACACAATTCTTGAAAATACTATTAAACAGTGAATTTTAGAAAAAAAAAACAAAGCTGAATTTGGGGAGAAGCAGCAAAGCTGGGGATGTCATGTGACTCACTGTTCTTGTGATTGGCCATCTTGAGCGTCAGGTTCTCCTGCCGGAGCTTATGGTTCACCTGCTGCAGGTATTTGATGTAGTCGATGGCTTTACGCAGAACGCCAGACTTGTGCATCTGTCAGTCACATCAAACAGACCGTCAGACAGTCACCTGGGCTCCACACATCCCAGCATGCAATGCGGCGCACACACCTTGGCGTCACCGCCCATCACGAGGTTGCGCAGCTCCAGGATTTTGTCATTGATGGACGATCGGTAGCGTTTCTCGATGACGTTGTGTGTCGTCCGTCTCTCGCCCTCCTTCACGACTCCTCCCGTTCCCGCGGTAACGGCCACGCCCTGCTCTACGCCCCCCGTGTGGGCGGTGCCCGAGGAGAGCTGCTTGATTGGGAGCTTGTCTCCGCCTCCCATCACCATGGGAACGGTGGTCAGAATGTTGCTGCCCATCAGCGTCTGTGAAAGAGAGCCACGACATTCAGAACCATCAACAGAACGATATTCTGACATGAAAGGGATTTAGATAGATAGATAGATAGATAGATAGTTAGATAGATAGCTGTTTAACTTAAATCTGACAAGTTTCTGTTGATGGGTGCGCATTCTGGCTTCCCAATAAATTACAACAACAGCGATAAAAAAAAAAAGTGGACAAACCTGTCACTCTTGTTCAATGCGCGTGCCGTTTGCTGGAATATGAGCAGTCATTTATGCCGTCATTACCCGGGTGCTGATAGAGTGTGCGCGCAGGTGAGACCTGAACAGCACACCTTGCTATCGGTGTTTAAACTAAACTCATTTAAGCTTTGCCAGTTTAAATATTAAAGAGCCAGAAGACGCGAGCTCGCGCGCGCGGTGAGATCATTGTGTGTGCGCTCATCCGAAGTATGCAAACCCGCACACAAATATTAAGCTCTCTTTGAAGTATTGTGTTTGAATGGACAAATTTACACAAAAATTATGTCAAAATGCCCATCTTGGTGAGTATCCTAGCAGACATAGTCGGTTGAGCGTACAGTATCAGTGCACTGGATCAGTGCATTCTCTTAAAGTGACAGCAGTTTCTTAATATTAATCAAACAACAACAACATAGAAATCACTCACTGCTCTTGACTGAATAACTTTTGTAACTTTAATAAGGATTAATCTTTTATTTATACAGTCAAATATGCAATGTTATTTTACGTTTGATTACTTTATTCAATTTCTGTACCTAAAAACTAATGATAGACCTACCTAAAAAACCTGAAAAGCACTGTTTATTTTATTTGTATTTTGCTCTGTTGTATTTATTTGAGCTGTTGCTTGTAGTTAGATTATTTGTTCTTATCTTCATTATATTTATTTGACAGTATAGTTTTTTCCCTAAACATAGCACAGACCGAACCGTTCTGAAACCGTGACTCTAAAACCGTGATACAAACTGAACCGCTGCACCCCTAACAGATAGATAGATCATTTTTTGTGTCCTCAGAGAGGAAATTCGTTTTCACAGTGGGTGCGTATATAAGACAAAGACAACAGAACAATACATATGAACGTATCACAGTACAATCAACACAATCACAAGACATGTCACCACAAAAAATAATAATTTAAATGAACATGCAAAAATATTCTCTGCATGAGTATGTCTGATTTCCCACTAAATTATCATAAAATAAAAAAAAAATTCTTGTCTTATAAAGGTATTTTAAGATACTAATTAAAAAAAATATTTATAATTATATATAAATATTTTTATATTTATTTACATTGATTTTTAATATATTTTAAATAAATATTATTTAAATACAATAAATTAAAAAAGATATATATATTATTTAACACCATATCAGCAGCAAAGGCTAATTTCATAGCAAATTCAGAGTAGAAGAAATCAAAATTATTATAACTGCTCTATGATACTTCTGTCAGTGTGCCCCGACTGTAGTGTG